AATCTAAACAAAAACTTTAAAACTATTATTAGAGATATTGCTATTCAATTAATAGCTTTGAATTGAACTATAAGGAAAGCAATCTCCTCAAAGATTCATTTTATATTAAAGGTACAAAAAGTTTTAATAGAGACAAATATTGTTTTAATAATAGATTTGAATAATATAATTGTAAAGTAGTTATTAATATTGTAATATAGATTTATAACTTAATTAGAAAGGATCTACAAATTATTATATAATATATATATGAAAAATGTTATATGAGCCAAATAAAGGCTTGTATTTTAAAAAAGTGGTATTTTTAGAAATGGAAACCTATATGTACACTCCATTTTTGATAAATGCGAAAACTCACACTACCGAGCCAAACAAGGCCTAAAGTATTGGTTTTCTGTCGTGGGATACTTGGGTCCGCCATTAAGAGCTAGACAATTTCAAGTGTTGCACGTGATACTGATGACATATTTCCTGAGCTCCTCCCGACAAACATCTTGAAATCGCATCGTACCAGGACTTATTGCACATCCGCGATACAACATCAAATCTACTACTCTAAAATGTCAGCACAAGCAGCAGGAAAGGTAGTCGCAGAGGCAGGAAAGGCCGCAGTAAAGGCTGCCGACGGTCACGTACTCAACAAGGGCGCAAAAAGAGATCCAGAACTTTACGTGAGTGAAGTGCACCTTGTTTTATAATGCTGCCATCTGTTTTCTACTCTAGAAATTGTTCCACGTGTTTAAGAACTAATTCAAAATTTTCGCAGGTTCTCTTAGGTATCATGACCGGTGCCCTCGGTTTGGCCGGTTTCTACTTTGGTGAGGCTATTTCTTTCGACCAGTACTGAGGTTCCGAATTGACCTTTCTTGTTAGGTCGTAAACCTACCTCGTCCACTTCAGAAGTCAAAGTAAACGTCGCTCCTGGTACCATGCCATGGCAGACCGAGAGCTCCAAAGGTGATGCCGCCCGACAGGACTTCAAATATCAATATCATCCAGCTGGCGATCCAAGAAACCCACCGAAGGACGCCCCTAGCGCATTGCACAGTGTCATTGTTCCAAACGTCAACTTGCCAAAGGTAGGACTCTTTTACCATGTCTCTACTTTCACAACCACCAAGCAGCGTACACCTTTTCTTTCATGATCATGAGTGTTGCTTGAGTTTGCTGGATTGTTCATTCCCCAGCTATATGCTAACATGTCGTCTCTAGGCACTACATGAGAAATACAACAAGTGGGGCAAGGATGGATACTAGATCAGGATGCAGAACATGATGCGAATGGTTGCAAGACCGCACAGGGTTGCGCAGGTGTACATAGATTGAAGAGGTTATCTGATGCATTGAACACTCATTATTAGACGTAAAGGCAACTTTTTGGCTTGGTATGAATCGGGGTATCGTGTAGAAAGGGGTATGGTGAAATCATGAAAATACCTCGAAATCAATTCATTCGTGAAAGAACTAAAATTAAAGAAGCTGATTGTAAATCTCCCCGGAGTTGATACAGTACCTTTATCAGTGAAATTCACGATTGATCCAAGAACTTACCGGTATCCTCCCAAGAATCTATCTATATTACTAGCGACACACCTAAGTCTATAAAGTTCAGCCTTACGTAGAAGTTCCACTCCCTGGTATGAGCAATGTTTTAAACTTAGAATGCCTTCTACATTGACTTTTATTATATTCGCCAGTGAAGATTCTACAAAAGCTTCTTGATAGATATATGTTTATTGAGAAATTCATCTCTTAGGTATATGTGCTCAAGTTCAGACTTACTGTACTCGAGTTATGTGATAAAGGCTGAGGCTGAAGGAAATGATTGATTGGTGATGTTCATATTATTAATAGAAGAGGCTACAACTCGCGTCACTACTAAACCATACCTGGCCCTTTCCAAAAAGTTCCCCCTTACGACACCATCAATAATAATAACAGGCGACTTGTCCTCCAACATCAATGCCGTACCTTTGATCACTCTGAGTGTCTATTTCTTTGCATTCTCTTCAGCAGTACGATTGATTTGAACTTGCTGGTTCAATTCTTAGGGGAACTGGGCTTTTAGAAGCTCTTTCAATCTACAGAGCTTCTCGGATTTTCATCTGAAGCACAACACTATGGCACGTACTGGAAAATCCCTGCACGCGGATATCGCAAAACCCTCGAAGAGTCCTTCAAGGCAACCTATTAATACGAAGAAGCCAACGGATTATACTTCTGAAGGCGTGGAAGATCAAGATGTCTTTCTCCTCCCTGGCTCCGACTATCAGGTCATGATCGGCCTGACACTCTTGGGTGCTGTCATCAGGCTCTTTAGGATTTATCAACCCAGCAGTGTAGTATTCGATGAAGTTCAGTAAGTTATGATAGTCCGGTTTGGCATTTGATGTTAGAGAGCAAGCACTTACGCTGTCATCGTAGCTTCGGTGGTTTTGCCTCGAAATACATAAAGGGCAAATTCTTCATGGACGTACATCCTCCTTTGGCGAAACTTTTAATTACCCTTGCGGGATTCTTGGCTGGGTTCGATGGAGAGTTCGATTTTAAAGATATTGGAAAGGATTATGTCGAGCCTGGTGTGCCATATGTTGCTATGAGGCTACTGCCAGCTATTTGCGGAATACTTTTGGTTCCTACTATGTTTTTAACTCTCAAGGCCGCAGGTTGCAGAACCATGACGTCTGCCCTGGGGGCTGGATTGATTGTATTTGGTAAGTCGAATTCTCGAGCATTTCATTTTTGGCACCCAGACTAAGTAACTTCTATAGAAAACGGTTTACTTACTCAGGCACGCCTCATTCTTCTGGACTCTCCGCTTATGATCATGACGGCTTTCACTACGCTTGCATTCACCTCTTTTACGAATCAACATGAACAAGGACCTACGAAAGCATTTCAACTGAGCTGGTGGTTCTGGTTGATTATGACAGGTTTTGGTTTGGGAGCAACTGCTAGTGTGAAATGGGTCGGGCTTTTCACAATTGCGTGGGTAGGCAGTCTTACAGTATTGCAATTGTGGGTTTTGCTTGGGGATGCGAAAACTGTCACACCGGTAAGAATTTTCTATCTATCTATAGGTTTATATATTGACAAGTACAGCGAATTTTCGCCAAGCATCTTGTAGCACGGATCTTTTGCCTTATTATAATCCCCCTTACATTCTATATGGCTATGTTTGGTATTCATTTCCTGTGTCTCGTTAACCCCGGTGACGGTGATGGATTCATGAGTTCCGAATTTCAAGCAACTCTCAACTCAAAATCCATGCAAGATGTTCCCGTAGATGTCGCGTTCGGAAGCCGAGTTAGCATTAGACATTACAACACTCAGGGAGGATATCTACATTCTCACAATCTTATGTATCCCACCGGTAGCAAGCAACAACAAATCACCTTGTATCCTCACAAGGATGAGAATAACGTCTGGCTCTTGGAGAACCAGACTCAACCACTTGATATCAACGGAGAGCCAATCAACGGGTCATTAGCTTGGGACGCCTTATCACCGCCAAGATACATTCAAGACGGAGATGTCCTCAAGTTGTACCATCAACCCACACACCGCCGCCTTCATTCTCATGATGTTCGACCACCAGTCACTGAGGCAGAGTGGCAAAATGAGGTTTCCGCATATGGTTACGAGGGATTCGAAGGCGATGCTAACGATTTCTTCCGTGTTGAGATCATCAAGAAGATGTCTGACGGAGAGGCAGCCAAGACTCGCTTAAGAACAATTCAAACCAAGTTCAAACTTGTTCACATCATGACTGGATGTGTTTTGTTCTCTCACAAAGTCAAACTTCCTGAGTGGGCTTCTGAGCAGCAAGAAGTTACATGTGCTAAAGGAGGAACTCTACCTAACAGTGTTTGGTATGTTGAGCAAAATGAACAGCCACAACTCGGTGCCGAGGCAGAGAAAGTCAACTACAGAAACCCAGGATTCTTTGGAAAATTCTGGGAGCTCAACAAGGTCATGTGGCATACAAATGCCGGTCTAGTTGAATCCCACGCTTGGGACTCGCGTCCTGATTCTTGGCCGATTCTCAGACGTGGTATCAATTTCTGGGGCAAGGACAATCGCCAAATTTATCTTATCGGGAACCCTGTAATTTGGTGGAGCTCGACACTGGCCGTTGTTATCTTCGTGGCCTTCAAAGGCCTTGCCGTTCTTCGTTGGCAGAGAGGCTTCAGAGACTACGACAATCCAGTCTTCAAGCGATTCGACTATGAAATTGGAACCTCTGTTCTTGGGTGGGCCTTCCATTATTTCCCATTTTATCTGATGCAACGGCAGCTTTTTCTTCATCACTACTTTCCCGCACTTTACTTCGCCATTATTGCGTTGTGCCAGACTTTCGACTTTGTCACTGCCCGCATTCCTGGTATTGGTTTGCGCGAACGCCCCTTCATCGGAAGACTTGGCGCCATCATCTTTTTAACACTCAGCATTGTTGTTTTTACTCTCTACTCCCCACTGGCATATGGAAACCCATGGACACAATCAGCCTGCAAACAAGTCAAGATCTTCGATAAATGGGACTGGGACTGCAATACTTTCTTGAACGACGTAAGGATGAATATCACTAGTATCACATAATGAGAACAAATGCTAATCTTCCTAGTACTCTGAATATGCGACTCAATCTATTAATGTCAATGCGGATATCCACAAAACAGATTCGCCATTGATCCCAACTAATGCAGCACAGGCTCCAGCACAGGCTGGGGTTGGTGAGCAGAAACCTCTCGTAGACCAAGAGAACATCTCAGGGGCACCAGAAGGGTTGGTATCTCCACCGCCGGCCGCTCCTATCGTCAGCCATAGCGTTGTGTCTCGAGAAGAGAAGGTTGAGTACAGAGATCAAGACGGCAATATCCTTGACCCCGAGGCGGTAAAGTCTCTAGAGGGAAAGGTCAGCTTTAAGACCAGATATGAAACCAGAACTCGTATGGTAGATGCCCAAGGCAATGAAATCAACCAGCCAGAGGATGACGCAGTTGGAGTTGCGCCACCACATCCTGATGTTGAGGGCTCTGATCCCCAAACAGAGCCAGCTGTTCATGACAAACCAGTAGTGCAAGCTGAAGTGCAAGCTGACGAAAGCAAGGAGCAAAACATCGAAAAGTCTGATGGCGGTGCCGCTAAGCCCGCCAGTGAAGGAAACGAGGCGACGTCAATTTAGGATTCCTTTTCTTTTGTCATGTCAGGAATCATAGGAGACAGCACGGAAAATATTTGGCCCGAGGCCCTTGTAACATAGAACTCAACTGCGATTCTATCAATCCAGAATATAAAATTGTGTAATATCATTAGTACATCGTTCAATATCTTAATCCTTGTCATGGACCTGACTTGACCCGATCCAAATGTGCTACTGGCATGGTATAATCCCCATGTATCATGTCCATTTCTGCAAGTCTGAGATCAAAAGCACACTTTTGGTGCATAGCAATTCTGCAACATAACCCTAGATCTCGGAATCAACATCCCAAAAGAATGCATAGCCCCATTACTTCAGGGGCCCATCCCACTCTCACTTTCATGAATGGGGGAGGGGAGGAAGGGGGGATAGTTATTGTCATACTAATCTACTAATCATATCATTCGTAAAGACATATCATTTGTAAACAGGAGAGAGAGGGGAAATATGGTTATAGTTGTACTTGAGTACAAAATGCCAAGTTATGGCTGGCTGTATCAACTTTAATCTTGTATTTGTTTCATGTATTTTTTTACATGTAAAGATTCAGCTGATGAAAATATAATACCGGCCGGCGTCCCCGATTATTTTTGTATGACTTGTTTCCCCTATACTATCTAGTATATACTTTTGAAAAATTCGGTAACGCTATATTAAACCTAGATCAATTCAAGTACTCAGTATCTAATTGTAATACAATTGAAGAGTTTCCATCAATACGAGTAGGAAGCCAAAACTTAAATTTATTTATATCTAGGTAGTTATTACCGAATTCTTCAAATGAATACACAACCTTATTTGTTAAACCTAACCTAATTTAGCGAAACTATTTTTTCAAGCTAGTTGCGGTAGTGGTTTATTACAATGCCGATAACAATAATGGGTACAACGAAACGTCTTTCCTCTACAATGGGGAAATCCTTTGAACTTCCTAATTCGGACTTTGGATTCGTACCTAGGTAGTCCTAGGCGCATAAGTCATCACAGCCTGTTCAATCTTACCAAGCACTTCTCACACGTGTTAAACCTTACTGGCTATGCTGAAGATACTGGCGCAATATCGTGATGAACCCCGGTCAATCACCAATTGACTTTTTACAAGTGCAAGTGCGAGTGCAAGTGTCACTATCACAACATGTCTTCGCATGAACTCTTTTCACTGGGGGCGTCCACCATTCGCCATTTGTTGTCATTCCACCGCCGATCATGTATGTCTATGTCTCGGCTTAGAGAGTTACGCTCGTACAGTGAAGTGACCGTTTTCAAGACCGGACGGAGTTCGTATTTCTTGTGCACCCATCGTCTTTGTATTTTTTGTGTGTGTACCCGCCCATCAATGGGAGGAGTGGTAATACTACCCCCAGTTTCAATAGTATGGAATTATGGATCATGTATAAAGTGTTCCGATTTATCATCGAGACCTATATTGATCATTCAGGTACAAATAAACAGTTCTCCCTCCCGAAGAACTACCAATCAACCGTCCGTTGTTGATTGAGCAGACGCTTTCTGTGTTTGGATTTGGTATATCACGGAAGCTTTCATTCTTTTACTTCCTCATTCGTTCTTTTCCGTTTCTATATTCCAAATTTATTGATCTCCCTCCCTCTTTTCTCCAAGAATCGACATCTCATTCGAAATCTCGAAAGAACAATGCATTCGTCAATATTGCCGTTAGTTGGACTTCTGGCGACAAAGTTGGTTGGCGCTTCTTACGCGCCCTCCTCTGTGACATGCCCTTCAGGGCAATCACTTGTTCGACCTGCAGATGGCCTTTCGGACAACGAAGAATCTTATAGGGTATCGAGAAAAGCTGTAGCGGATGTAGCTTTGAAAGCGGTATGGAACTTTATCTCATGTTAATTTGATAGAGTTAGGCGAGAGGGATTTTGAGTTCCGACTTTCTTTCTTTGATGGCGTGAATGAACTTTGACTGAATTTATGTACAGTGGTTGGAGAAAACAAACTCGGAATTTGGTACAGAGGATTTGCCAACGGTATGTATCACTGTTCAAACCACATTTATTTCGATGGCTGATATTATTCAGATCGCACTTACCCACAGCGGTGGGGGTTACCGATCCCTCCTGTCGGTTAGTACTTTCGCTTCTCGATGTTCATCAAAGTTCCGTGTCTCATGCAGCGATTGAATATCCTCTAAGAGCTTCCCCTATAAGCCATTTTTTGCTAACATCATGAAAAGAGCGCTGGTGTAGTTCAAGGTCTTGATCAACGTGATAGTGATGTTTCTACCAGTGGTCTCTACCAAGCTTTAACGTATCAAGCTGGTCTTTCGGGTGGATCATGGTTCCTGTCGTCTCTTGCCGGGAACAATTATCCAACAGTCTCCTATTTGCTCGATAACCTCTGGGGAGAGGCATTTTCAAGGTCACTCTTCGACCCCGATGGGCTATTATTTGTAGTCGCATACGCCAAAATTGTTGGAGAGCTCCTCAAAAAAGAAGCTGCTGGCTTTCATACCACTCTTACTGATCCATGGGGGAGACTTTTAAGCTATCAATTACTTGTAAATGATGGCGAGTCAACCACGTTCTCTTCGGTCGCTACGCTCTCCAATTTTACCTCGCATGCAGTTCCATTCCCAATCATCACCAGTCGGGGAGTAAAAACATTCCTTGGCCAATGTACACCCGGGCCCAACGCTACAATGTGGGAATTCTCTCCGTATGAGTTTGGTTCTTGGGATGCCGATGTGTCTGCTTTCACACCGACGGAATATCTTGGCACTGCTATGAAAAACGGTGTTCCAACTGGAAAGTGTACCACGAACTACGATAACTTGGGTTACATTTTGGGAACCTCAAGTAGTCTATTCAATGAGGCGTGTCTCAGCGTTCCAACGCCGGTTAATGGTTCCGCAAACCCGTTCGAAAGTGTTGCCGCATTTCTTGACGGGGCTCATGAAGTAGCCACCGAAGATCTGTACGCTACCTATAAAAACCCCTTTTACGAGTATATCTCCTCTACTGGCGAGATCAACTCTGCAGACAATATTCCAGCACAAGAATCTTTGAGCTTGGTCGATGGCGGAGAAGCCTTGCAAAACAATCCTATCTTTCCATTTCTCCAGCCGGATCGCAACATATCAGCTATCATTGTGAATGACAACAGTGCAGATACGGCAACAAACTGGCCCAACGGATCCGAAATTCTCACCACATACGTACAATCTCTGGCAGCTGGTCTCACCCGCATGCCAATCATCCCCTCGGTCGAAACTTTCATCGCCGAAGGCTACAACACACGAGCCACATTTTTTGGCTGCGGCGACACGAGTAAGGTCACCATTGTCTATCTTCCCAACGCAGAATTCACATTTGCCAGTAATGTCCCAACTATTCAATTGATCTATCCAAAGGCCTCTTCGGCGGGCATCATCGCAAATGGCGTCGGGGTGGCTACTCAGGGTAATGATTCGGAATGGCCGACTTGTTTGGGTTGTGCATTCATGGAAAAGACGGGACAGGCGCTTCCTAGTGCTTGCACGGCTTGTTTTACAAAATTTTGTTATACAAGTTGAATGTGGTGATATGGTGATGATTTCAATGAACGATGTTGTGGTAGTCAAAAAGCTTGTATATAGGATGACTAGAAGTACAGTTGGGAAATTGGAGGGGAATTTTGCTTGGAATTATCGATATTTGCGGTTTTGGATTTAGTTGGCACTGAAATATTGGTTTTCATTGATATTTTATCTTCAATGGCAGCTTCTTTCTATACCATTACGGCTCCCCTTCCACTACTAAAACTCGGTTTGTGTTTTTTGCAACAGCGGATCAATTTGTCATCAGGGGTTCTGTTGAATTGTCAGAGCCGTTAAATAATAACGACCATTACATGTCTTAGCGGGGAGGGGAGGGAGATTGAAATTGAGCTTGCCCACCTCACTGTTCGCTGGCTCACCCCCACCTTTGCATTTTTTACCTCAATCTTACTCATCCCGCCGGCCATTACATTCATCTATCTCTTCAGCACTGACGTTCCAACTTCTGGTAACATATATAAGCAGCGCTACATTGTTTGACCTCATTCTAATCGATACAATTCAGTTCTTCATTCTACTCGAGTATATATTAAACACACCATGCAATCAATCGACGGCCATAGCACAGCATGCTGCAACATCCCACCAGTCATATCCAGCGGATATACACCCAAAGGCACCTACGAAACAATCGGAGGTCTAAAAATATGTAAGAAACCAAACCCTACTATTCACATTACCGTACAAGAAAATAATGATTATCACAGATGTTTCTGGGCCAGCATCTGCAAAGAAAGCCCTGTTTATTATCTACGACATCTTTGGATACTTTGAGCAAACCATTCAAGGAGCCGATATCCTGGCCCAAGGAGCAGAGGAGGAATATCAAATCTTCATGCCGGATTTCTTTGAAGGGAATTCGGCGGATATTGCGTGGTGGGTAGTTTGCAAGCTTTTGATACAATGTAATGTATTGTGATGTGGTGGGCGTAAGAATGCTGATGATATAGATATAGGTATCCACCTGTGACTCCTGAACAGATGAAAGCGTTGGGGGATTGGTTTGAGACTAGGAAACCTTATATCGCCGTGGATAGAATTCCCAGGATTGTGATGAATATCGAAGAGAGATATGGAGTGAAAAGTTGGGGCGCTGTGGGGGTATGTATATGTCCTCGTATTTCTTTTCTTTTCTTTTGCCATCATCTTCTTTCTACACGCATAACCAAAAACCATAAATAACCATTCTCAGTACTGCTGGGGCGCAAAAGCCATCGCCCTAACCTCAGGAAAAATCACGCCCTGGAAAGTAGCAGCTCAACTTCATCCGGGCATGATTGAAGTGGATGATGCACAAAAAGCTACGATTCCCATGATGGTATTGGCGTCTGAGGAGGAAAAGAACGAGATGGAGGCGTATGAGAAGGCCTTGAATGTGCAGAAATATGTGGAGACGTTTGAGGGGCAGGTGCATGGGTTTTTGAGTGCGAGGGCGGATTTGGGGGATGAGGGGAAGAGGAGGGAGTTTGAGAGGGCTTATGGGATTTTGGTAGGTTGGTTTGGGTTGTATTTGTGATTGTAGGTATGAGTAGAGTAGTCTGGGGATGTAAATGTTTGGAGCAGACGAAGAAGAAATATATTGGATGATAGAACTGAGTTTATCCTTCACCTCCTTCAATATTATAAGATTAGATGAAAATTTATATAGTTTCCTCACCGGAGTGCAAGAACTTAAATTTCTAATCTTCAAGAAATGGGGCTCACCGGGAGCTTTTTCTTCAAAACTCAACTCAAAACTTTCTAAAGCTTACGACTTTGTGCTCTTCCGAGAATTTGGCTAATATTGGAAAGGACGTTCAGACAATTCACAAAAAGGTTTCTAATTGAGGTTAAGAAACCATTCATTCCTCCGGTCGATCCACACGAGATAATCACATGCCATTCCACCTTCAATTCGATACTTCTTCTTTCACCATACAATTGTTTCTTACCACAAACATGGGAAGGAGCGAAAGTGGTTACTGGGCACCACAGAAACCCCAATACAATTCCACCCAATGTATCACAACATAATATTATCACATCACACAACATCAAACATTCCTTATCTCGCTCCAAATCCACACATGCAAGTGCTATAAACTCAACCCTCTCCAATCCATCACCCATTTCCACCAGCAGTACCCTCAACTGCCAACTAGGATGCATCCCCTCGCGCTCTTCATCTTAGGATATTTCATACTCTTCATAACCGCCAACCTGCACTCTCTATACGACACCTGGACCTCCTCAACCCTATACTGTGTCCGCGCACCCTACACCATCAGTACACTGTCGCCCTCCTCTCCACACCCGCAATGTTTCCGCACGCGAATCGATCTCATCACGCAAGTGCTGGACAATATTCCCAGCGTGGAAGATGGAGAGAAGATTACGTGGTTGAATGGTTATGTGTTGCCGGGTATTATTGAGTCACATGGTCATATTTTGCAGTATGGAGAAATGTTGGAGTCGGTGGAACTTTATGGGGTAAAGAGTGTGGGGGATGTGAGGGAGAGGATTAAGGAGTGGTTGGGGAGGCATCGGGGGGAGGGTTATGGGGAGAGGGAGAAGTGGATTAGGGGGGTGGGGTGGGATCAAGCTCATTTTGGGGGCGTGATGCCGACTGCTGTATGTATATCTTCATCTCTTTATCAAGTTGGGTACGGGAGCTATGACGATATATTGTGCTGACGGAATTTCTAGGAACAACTTTCTGAAGACCCGGAATTGAAAGATTTATATATTATGCTCGATAGAGTTGATATACATTGTGTATGGACATCCGAAAAAGTCCTCTCACTTCTTTCAGATCCATTACCTGAAGCTCCCCCTGGCGGTGAGATCATCACGAATCCGGGCCCTGGTGTATTTTGCGATAATGCAATGGACGGCATCATCTATCCTCTCACACCAAAGCCAGATGTATCTCAAAAAGTGCGCTGGCTCAAAAGCGCAATGGCCGAGTTAAATCGGGTAGGTATCACGGCTATGAGCGATGCTGGTATGCGAGCGGAGGATATGAAAATCTTGCAAGAATTGGCTCGGAGAGATGAGTTGAGTGTGAGGATTCGAGTTATGGCTGAGTGTGCAGAGAGAAACACTTATTGTCATCAAGACTTACGTCAAGTGAAGGTCATGAGGGACGGATCGGGTGGAGGCGACATGCTCCTGTTTGGCGGAATCAAACTGTTTGCGGATGGAGCTTTGGGTTCTTGGGGAGCGGCATTGTTGGAACCGTACTCGGATAAACCTGAGAATAGTGGGATGATGCTGATCAACGAGATGGAATTGACGGAAGTTGTTAAGAAGGTATTCTCCCCATTCCTTTCTTTCTGCACATGATACTCACTGAATCGTAAAGTATTATCACTGGGACTACCAGATCAACATTCATGCTATTGGCGATCGAGCCAATAGAGCTGCTATCAATGCATTCGAGGCGGTTCTAGGATCTGATTGTCATGGCTGCAACCAAGAACGGCGCTTAAGAATCGAGCATGCTCAAATCATCGTAAGATTCCCAAATCTACAACCACTCACTACTTTCCTAACAGCTCCCAGCATCCCGACGACCAAGCACGCATTGAAAAAATGGGTATTCTTCCTAGCATTCAACCCACACACGCCACATCCGACATGGCATACGCGCAATCGCGACTCGGAGAAGAGCGACTCTCCACCTCCGCATACCGCATGCGAACATTCTTCCCCTCATCCACTCACAAACACAGTTACTCCTCGTATCCGGGCCCTGTCCTCGGGTCTGATTTCCCAGTCGAACCCCCTAACCCCTTCCACGGTATGTACGCCGCGGTCACACGTCTCGATCCGCGCACTGGAACCTCGCCTATGGGTCAAAGGGGATGGTATCCCGAGGAAACACTTAGTATCGAACAAGCGATTCATGGATTCACGCGTAATGCGGCTTGGGGTTGGAATTTAGAGAATAAAACAGGGGCGATAGGGACGGGGATGTGGGCGGATTGGATTGTGGTGGATAGCGATGTGATGAATATGGATGGAGAGCGCGCAGAGGAGTTGAGGAATGTAAAGGTGCTGGGGACTTGGGTTAAGGGGAAGAATGTTTTTTTGAGTGAGAGTGAGGGGGTGGTGGAATTGGATGCTGGTTATTCGAGTGGGGATAGATTTTTGGTAGGGATGAAGGAGGTGGGGAGGAGGTTGGTGAGGGAGATTAGGGTGTTGTTGTTTGAGTCGGGGAAGGTGGAACTTTAAGTTTGGAGAGGGGTGGGGTGTGGGGGGGATGAAATGGGTGGATGGAATGGGATGAAGTAAAGCAATGAGCGAACGAGAATATAGGTAGAGGGAAAAGAAGAAAAGAGACCTGCAAAGAAAGAGTGGATAGATAGCATAGCATAGCATTAGAAGTCCGACCGTTCGTCCATCCTTCCTAGAGAATCAGTACAGTAACTTACTTACCTAGATAGAATACACACATAACATACACATATATATATACACATCTTGTACTCGAGTACAATAGTTTTTTTTTTCAATCTTTGAAAGTGGATTAGATAATCGCCATTTCTTACAGTAGGTAGGTAAGTTTCCTTAATGTAGGTTTTCTAGGCATCCATACTACAGTACTACTACTACCTCAAACTTTGAGGAACGAACTGGTACCTACTAGTCAAGTCGGGAATCCGGTGTTTGTGTTTGTGATTTTGATTGTGAGTGGAAGAATGAGAGGTGGAGAAGTGGAGAAGTGGTGGAGTGGTGGAGTGAAGAGGTGAAGTGGTGGAGTGGTGAAGTGGTGAAGTGGTGAAGTGGTGAAGTGGTGAAGTGGTGAAGTGGTGAAGTGGTGAAGTGGTGAAGTGGTGAAGTGGTGAAGTGGTGAAGTGGAGAGGTGGTGGAGTGGTGGAGTGGTGGTGTTTGGAGTTATACGGGTAGATGTGATAGAGATGTGATAGTGCGGATTCAAAATTCTTAAAAAGAAAAAAAGAAATAAGTGATGGGGGAATGTTCGATAATCAAGAAATTATCCATTTCCCAAATTATGTTTCGAAATTCTTTGCTTACGAAATTTGAGGCTGTGTACAGAACATACAATCCAACGGCACGACCTTCTTCTTACTCGTATATCCATCGATCACTCATCGCAAAGTCACCCTCAAACAACAAATCCCTCTCAATCTCCCCCCTTCCCCTCAAAACCCACAAACCCACAAACCCACTCCCATCCCGCAACCACGTGCTAAAATCCCTCAACACCGGCACCACCTCCCTCGCCCTCTCAATATCCACCCCAAACCCCTCTTTTTCAAACCATCTAAACATACTCCCCACATCCGGATCCACCACCCTCTTCACCAATTTCCCCACCACGCAAAATGTCTCGGGCATCTCTTTCCCCGTCACCTGTTTAAAAATCCTCTTTCCTTCTTCATAATTCAGGGAATCGCCTGCGATCCCCAATTTTCTCCCTGCGTATTCGGTGGGTGAGAGGAGGGCTTTGGCGGCAAATATCCCAATGTCGTGGACGGAGACTAGTTGGATGGGTCGAGAACCTACTTGCTGCCACATTTTCGCAAAGGCTTTGCCTTCGAAATTCGGGGTTAGATTTTCCATAAATGTTACGGGTCGGAGAATCGTCCAGCTCATGTTAGAGTTTGGACATTTCTCGAGGAGCGTCTTTCAATGTTGTATTTACTTCTGTGTGATCGCTCACTGTCTCTCCTCCTCGGTCCGCGGATGAAAATACAAAATGGGATACTCCGTGTGTAATACTTGCGTCGATGAGATTACTGGCTTGGTCTTCTTCGAAGCCTTTGTTGCCATGGACGGTGATGCAGAAAACGGCGTCAACGGGGCCAGTTTGACGGAAAATGGTTGCGGATGTTAGGATTTAAGGCGAGTTTGAGGGCGGATGGGGAGGAGAGGTTGCGAGTTAGGGCGAGAATTTGGGGGGTGGGTGTGTGGGTAAGAAGGGAGTTGATTACGGCATTGCCTTGTTTGCCAGTGGCTCCTACGACTGGATGGCTTTTGGTGACATTGTGAGTGAATGGTAAAGAGGTAGAGTATAGATAGAGATGGATCGTTGAAGATATCTCGAGTAGGGTGGATATGTGTGAAAGAAAAGAGCTTGATAGAATAGTGAAATGAGTGAGTTCTATAATCCATCGACAAAAGAAATCGACAAATCCCCCCTCTATATACCTAACTTCCTACCTTCTCATAATCCATCAAACCAGCGCGTAAGATTACAGCTACCCTCAAACCTAACATGAAGTTATGGCCGTAACGGACCTCATGATGTTCCGTTTGAATACTGCACTGGCAGCGTATATTATTTTCCACTACCCAATAAGAGATGGTTGTGCGCAGTATTAGACGAGGAATGGACTTCTGAAGGAAGATTTGGTGGTTGATCATCTGTGGTCGTAAGGCGCAGCAAATATGAATAGGGAATGTTCGTTGGCTGGTCTCAGCCGCACACTTGTTCGGAAGAACCTTTTAACCTCGCACCGGACATTTCTGATTAATGATTTGCGAGACTGAAGGAAGGACATATTTGATGGAAATTTTTGATACTACCAAGACATAGTGAAGTTCCTGAAGAAGTATTACCGGTATGCAATTATTCTCAGTGAACGATGAGTTTGAAGACCGGACCGGACCGGAGAGAAAACAAAATATAGGACGAACGAAACGACAATGTATGTGGGTCAGTCAGTGGTGGTTGTGGTGGTGGGGGTAAACTGACTAATCACAAAATTCCACTTTCAAAATATAAAATCCTACACAAAACTTAAAATAAATCTTGGAGGAACCCCAAAAAAGCAAAACGTCACTGATCAGAGTGGGATTTGAACCCACGCCTATTACTAGACCAGGAGATTGATTATGAAATTCGTGTGAATTCATAACCTTAACCTGGCGCCTTAGACCAACTCGGCCATCTGACCATTTTTCTTGGAAACTGGGGAGGATTTTAGGTATATATTAGGATTAATTCATAGTGGAGAGGGGAGGGAGAATGCCCCACATGATATGCCTGATTTTGATTTCTCACGAATTTTGATTATGAAAAATATTAATACTTTAATCTATATAGTTTATACTCGGCGAGGTCTTTGAAAAAGGATATACAAAATCAAAATAGCTACTTGTGACGGCTAGGATTAGGTATTTGGTCCCCTCCGTGGGCACTATAATATCACTTTTGAGGTTTAAACCTTTAAGCCTCTTTCTTTAGTTTATTATTCTTTAGTATAGATAATTGATTCTTTTCACTATGATCTGAAATGTTCTATCGTCATATTATAATAAACTTTTAATTATCCTGAGAAGGACAGAATATCCCTTGAGAAGGCTATAATATTTAGTTGATTTATATACCTATAAAATAGGTCCCTGAATTAGCAAAACTTCTTAAATATATTTTAAACTGTCATTTCTCCGATAATTATAGATTCTAAAGCCAGAATCATTACTAAATCAGCTACAGCTGCTTTGGTTATCTTTATTACTAATCCTTCCAATGTTATATATTCCGAACTTTCCAACAAATCAGCTGTTATAATAGAAACCTCTGAAGCAGCTGATGCTCAATTATAACAGGAAGAGGGTGATTACAGTGAAGAAGGAGAAGAATTCCAATCGCCAAATGAGGAAAATAAAAAAACGGCTGAAGGGCTGCCCTTGAGGACTACCCAAGGAAGAAAAGAAGGCCCTTAAACTGATATACAGAGAATACTCCAAGAGAATGCTGTTCTTAAGGAACGGCATAATGATCTTGTTTCATGTTACAACAATGTCAAAGAAACTCCATTGAACAACGATATGGATAACTACTCGGGGTCGAATTTATATAAACGACAACGTTATTGCTTCAAAAAAGATACCTCTGTATGTCAATCTACCGATATTCCAATAAGTCAACTACCCTACTTTCGGGCCACCCTTTCACACCAAAAACAGTGATTTTTGATTTTTCACAATTCTATCAATATTGAATCTAATTAAATGAAATTTTGAACATAGATTCTATATATAGTTATTAGCTCAGTTATAGTTTTTTAGATTTTTTATAATTTTATATAAAAAGTTATTAAAGTTTAAAAATCAAGGTTTTCATTTTGTATACGATTGTGACCAAAAGGGTATAAACAGGACTCCGATTGTGTACTTAGAATCTACAAGTGAAGAGCTATGTAGGGTGCTAAAAGGAGGACTATATATACAGGTATT